AAAGAATGATAAAGAAGTCTGGAGAATTTTTGTTTTCTGCACCTCTCGATGTTCGTTTATTTACACAATTTTCCGACCACAGAGAACTTCAGGGTGTCAGCGAAACATCCGCTTCTAAGCCCTTGTTACCATGGTAACCCCACAGCTTCTTACTGGAGTGAGTTATAGTGCAAAACACATCATAACCACATTGTGCAAATCAAACTTGGTGTGAATCTCAACCACAGTCTTTGGTGAATTCTACACAAAGTCAATGTGTTGGGTCTCGAACACAGAAGCAGGCGATGAGGTCAGCAAAATCAGTAATAGTAAAGAGCTTTTTTTTTTTTTATCTTGTAATAATCTTTGGCTATTTCGCTGAGCACTACTTTTGCAAAACACAGGGTTTGGATTATTCTTACTTTTACTTGTGCTTGTCCAGACCAGACTGTTGTTGATCTGAAGCCATAGTCTGGAAATATTTCCAAACTGTAGCTGGTAGAGATCAGTCCAGATGTTAAGATCCTGTGACGCTACAATGTAAGAGTGATAATTAACCTCTGGGGAAACAAACATGTATTTTTAATATGTTTTCACACATGTGTTACAAGCTCAGCACATTACACAGAACATGTCACACTGTTGTTTACAAAGGGATCAGAAAGATACAGGATTGAACAGTGGCAGGAATGTGACATCAATGTGCTATCACTAATCATCATTAGTATTTGGCAGCAGCGTGTTGATGTGAACCCGCTGCTCTCACACAGGACTGTCCGTTCTCACTCACCAGTTTATTCTTGGAAGTTAATGCAACCGCATTTCCTTTATTAAGGTTGTTTGAGTTGATGTACTGACTTTCTGCAATTACAGCAGTTTGATCCTGCGTCTCTTCCACACCCTCACATGTTGAAAATTACTGACTGGGGTGGTGCAGACACGAGACGGGATAGAAATAGAAGCTCAAGACTTTCTTGCACAATAAGATGTCATTAGTTTGCACTATTCAAGGCGGTGAAAGTTTGACTAACACAACAAAAACGCTGATCTGGCATCGTGTGCATCACTAATGAGGAACCAGTATTCACATGATGCTCAGCCAGATAATCAGTGGAAGGAAATGTAGCTACACGACGTGAAAACACTCAAACCACACCGGTCAGTTTGGATCAGGGAAGTATGATCCTTATCCCCGCAGACAGCTGCTTTCACTTACTCCATTAACACCCTTTAACGCTAAAAACTGCGCTAATTCCGCCGCAGTCTGCGATGTCATGATCCTCAGGCGACACATGTGGAGGTTTATTTGTTTAGTGTGATGTTCAAACTGCTTTTCCAAAATTAGAAGCTAAGCTAGCTTACGCTTTGAGGCACAAATTTACGAAACCGAGCTGTTTGACTTAAATACGTAAAATATCAACGTACCTGTGTGTCGGGGGGAAGCTGTGTGTTGTTTCTGTCCTTTCGTGAAGACTTACACTGACATTTAAATCCATTTCACGACCTGACTCTGTTTTCTGGTCAGCTGACTCTCCAGCCCCGACAGTGACAACAGTGACATATCCGGTACAAGTCTTTCACAATAACAGCGTCCTCTGCACAAATCTAAAGAAGACTGATTAAAAACGTATATTTCACAGAACTGAACCATCGTGATTATAAAGTGATTTATTCTGTTAAAGAATTAGTGGATTCTGGAAATCAAAATAAAATATAAAGTGACTTACTTCTATTATTTTGAAAGCCAGACCCACAAACCTGAAAAGGTTTTATTATCAGCAGTTTGCCCTTTTTCCTGTACAGCCTTTCCAAAATTAAAGCGGTGCCGGAAGCTTTTATTTTTGGTACAGCGGAGTTGAGTAAAAATAAGTTTATTCAATTATAGTTGGAGTCGATATTGCTTGAACAATTAATGCTAAATTGTTATTTACATAATATGCGGATGATAGTGATTTCTACAAACAAACAGTTATTGAGAATCCTGCTGAAAAGGCACAAAAAAAAAGGTTGCAATATGACATACAAATTCTGTAAAAATATCTGATACCAAAAATGTATGTGACATGAATGGGCTACCCCTTTAGAGATAGAATTGTAAATAGTCGAGACTTAACTGAGTCCAAATTAGTTTTTCGTTTGTGCTTTTGCTACTACAAAGCTCATGAAATGAAGACACACACTAAACCAAAAAAAGTTAAAAACACAGAATTTAAAACATACATATCCACGAGAAACTGTCCTTATTATAGGATGATATTTGTTGGGTTTACTTATTCTATATTGAAATTTGTGTGGTTTCTGATTCGATCTAAATACAGATCTTAAGCTTGATTTGTGAGATATGCACAAATCTAATGGTTAAAAATAAAATGTAAAGCATTTTTTTTAAAGTTTCTTCGTGAGAAATGTCTCAGGGATTTTCTTTTGATATCTTTTGTTTGTCTTTTATTAATCTGAAAACACACTCAGATATAAAACTTGTTTTGTATGGCATGTTGTAGGAGTCGATGGGATAAAGAAGTCGTGAGAATTATTTTCTGCACCTCTCGATGTTCGTTTATTTACACCATTTTCCGACCACAGAGAACTTCCGGGTGTCAGCGAAACATCCGCTTCTAACCCCATAGTGTAAACCACGTCATAACCACATCGTGCAAATCAAACACTGTGTGAACCTCAACCACAGTCTTTGGTGAATTCTGTCTATCACCTCTCCCCCCAGAAGTCACACACAAAGTCAATGTGTTGGGGCTCGAACACCGGAGCAGGGGAGGAGGTCAGGGATTTAACTGGAGGAACATGAAGGGACAGTTCTGATCTTTACACACAGTCTATGGTTGTACCACTCTGTGTACAGGCCCACTGACAGTTGATGGGTGTGCAGCACTAATGTTTACCAGTGGAGGGCACTAGAGGGCAGCATGTTAAATACCAATCACTGCACCTCTCTGCTTTATAAACATATTTACAGGAACCTGTGAAAAGAGTAAAACAACAAGTCTTCGCTGTGAAACATGACATCAAATGATTTTGTGCTCAGCTGGAATGATAAAGCGCAGACTCCCAGTTCTCTGAGTAACACGAGTGGACACCACTGAACTAATTAAATGAGACACTGTCCAAACATGGAGACATTTTCTAACTCACAGCTGCTTAACTGCTCTTTCCCCTCGGCAACTACGCATCTTATTGCGAAAGACCAATCTGCACAAGTGCTCGACTGCAAATTGTTTTTTCTTTGCAGCCTAAAACCAAATATATCCTCCCTGAATGTGTATTGTAAAACTAAAACAAAGGGAATTCATAACATTAGAGTGTACAGCTTGGATACTCAATGTGTCAGTGCAGACTTCATATCATTTAGATGAGCTATGTCGACTACCACTGTAATTTCATAATGCAGAAGAAGGATATGTGATGAAAATGTGTGTGTTTGCATAATCTGGCATCAGTGAGTTCTCAGATCAGTTTAACATGTTCTCACAGTTGATTTAGTCACGTAAAAAGTAACAGAAACATGCCGTACAGGGGCGGGGCTGAAGCAGCTGTTATACCACCACTGCATGAATAAAGGGATGAATTCAGTAATGCACTGCAGGGTGGCACATCAGTCCTCAATTAGCAGTGCATCTGATGACACACACACAGGTGCAAAGTGTCGCCTGCCATCAAAGGCATAGTGCAGCTCACACTCGCTCCAGATGACTCACTGGGATGTTTGTCCTCGATATAAGAGCCTCATCTGATAAGTCCCCACACATTCAGCACTCATAAAAAACAGGCTGAAGTCAGATCTAAAGGCCCAGAGTTGAACCTCAAAGGCCACTATTAGTGTCTGTAAAACCTTGTTAATTTGAAGGCCCGACAGCTTGCCAGGGAAAAGCTTTCAAAGCTAAATGGACCTACAGGGAATGTTTCCAATGAGGTGTGAGAAAAAGAGGGGACAGGTTGAGCAGCTCTACATTTTCCGTGGAAATGAGGTGTAATTGATAAAAACACAGACTCTATGTAACGGTGACCTTGCACTGATAAGGAGCAGGAAATATTGGAAGTTGCACCGATATTTGTTTGGTTTTTGTAAGAAAAGTTTTACCTTAATGACAACAAACAGAAACTAGAAGGTGCACCCTACACCTCTGCCACAGCCCAACATTCAACTTAACCTCAATCAAGCTAAACTAGATTTCCCACACTCATAGATTAGATCAGTTACCTGAATGTGCCTGATGTTTTCATGAAGATCCATGAATCATTAAGGGAAAATGGTGAAAATGAGAGACAGGATATCTCTCAATGATAATAAACGTGATAAAAAATTCCTGGATCTACATGATCCATATCACATCCTTCCACCAAGTTTTATGGAAATCCGTTTTTGTGTAATCTTGACCACAAACAAACACACAAACCACCAAACAAACACTGTTGTTAAACTAAGAAATATAATTTATTGCATAAAAATTGTATTTAGTTACAAGTAAGAAGGCTAGACGTTTATTTACAATTGGTACTTTTTACAGAGATAAAATAATGTCACTGATTCGATTCTGTTTTTCTTTTTTTGTAAAAATGTCTGACTTCTTGAACAAAAGGCTGAAGTTTTCTCTTGCACAGGAACAAGGTAGAATCCAGACCTAGTTCCAGCACAATGATCCAGAGCTATGGCTGAAAAATCCGACAGATACTCAAGAAATCCGGACGAATAAACACTGTGGTCTACAGCTACCAAGTCTCTGTAACAAGATTGGAGGAAAGAAAATAGTCCTGCAGAGTTCAGGGATCCAAAGTACTGAACTGGTTGAGTTCAGATTTATTTCCTCACAGGCAAAGATCTGCAGGGCTCGAGTTCATAGTGTTAGTCACGACTTGTGTTGTAGCCATTGCACCAGTTTTCTTTTTCCACGTGTGCTTTTTTTTTTTCTCAGTAGTTTCTTCCTTCGTTGGTGGATCCAGATGGAGGATTCTCCCACAGACATTTACCATCAGCACAGTTAAACCACTTCAGGATACAAAAACAAAACCCTGTCATTGCCCTGGGCTGAAAAAATAGAATTTACTATTCCAGGAAACAAAAGAATTCAAAATGCTTTGCTTTTCTTTTGTACTTGCATAGCACTTACAAAGAGAAATGACAGACCTTGAGTGTGTGCACACACTGTATTTGCACATCCACCTGCCCACACACACACACACACACACTCTCACACACACGTATATTTTAAGTCCATTCACACAAAGCAGTTACGTGACTCACTGCTGGAGAGGAGGGATACTGCCTGTGTTTTGGTTTTAGTGGTTTCAAAGACATGAACACTTTATTTCTTTTTTTGCTCTCCAGGGAGAAAACAGATTCAATAACACACAGAAATTAAGTAAAGACGATGATGTTACTGACGACAGCGTTTTCAATTCCCGTCCAACAATAAACTGACAGAACGATATTGATAATGCGAGTAGCTTGAGGGGCCCTGACCACAAAGCAGGCGGCTTAGTAAAGAGGTTAACAATGCGTTATCAGATTAAGAGGACGGAGACATAATGAGCATTATGGCGATACGTTGACAGATGGACACATGTAGTTAAATGGCGTACAGAGAATAGATAGAAACATGATTCAGTTAGCGCTGAGGTAAATTTGATGGGCCCTCGCTGCCTAGTTGACACAAAGCGAGGCTAATCTATTCTGCAATATTCATCTCTGAGCAGTGGAAACCGCACTCAGTCACAGGAAAGCAAAAAGCCGATCGAAAACAGTGACCGCATTTGACATTTCACCACCTATAATCATGTTTTACACTTCATATTTTTACTTTTTGAATAGATGCACAGTTTTAAAAATAACAAATAAACATGAGACATCCACTGTGCACCTATGTCTCCCATTTGGCCCGCAGAATAAAAAATAAGACAGCAGCTCAGTAGCCTAAAGAAGCACAAATGATAAAACTGCGTCTATATATCGTGACAGCAATGACAATGGGAAACAAAAAAATCCACAAATGGATAATAACTTATAGAGCGTTCCCCAAAGGAAACTTTTAAGAGATGACCAGAAAGCTCTCCTGCAGTTTATTCTCAACAGCTTGGAGGAGTGTGGCAGCGCGATAGAGGAACGCGAGGAGAGATGAAAGAGAAACACCCAAGTGAGTCGGAAAGATGTGCCAAGGCTTTGAGGCATTTGTTGGTGCTGTACAATATAAAGAGTCAGCCGGTTGAGTTATCCACCAATTCTTAAAACACACTTCCATCAACAGAATTCGCCCTCCCACCACAAAGAGGAGGCACCTGTTGTTTAGAAGAAAAAAAAATCAGCCCAAAGCTTTAAGCTCAAGGTCTGGAACCTCGAGAGCTCTGCGCTCGTACGATTTGTTGACAGTTGAAGCAGTTAAACCGGAAATCCCAGGATGTCTCATTCAAAGGCGATTAATGACCAGTTTGTCCACGTGCATCTGTAGCCTGAGGGGGTTGTGGACGGGTCGGTGCTGCCCGTCATTCACTGCTCACACAGAGCGACAGTGGAGAAAACAAAGGCCCCTGCCATGAGGTGAGATGGTGGATAAATCATGCACTTTCATGCTGCCACTGAAACCTGGGTGATCCCATGATAGCATTTGTCTGACTGGGTTATTGTGCGTGCTGAATACATGGATTATTTTGTATTATATAAAAGAAAAGTGTCATGAAATAACACCAACAGGTGACTTCACACTTATTTTATACTTTTGTTACCCTCAGACTTTTAACTCTTGCATATGCAACATTGCTTTGGTGGATTCAAGCTGAATCAGTTATCTGAGGATGGAGATGGATTATGGTGGATGCAGCTACGGTGGCTGATCAGTGGCCAGTGGAGAGAAAGCGAGATGAGACAGAGGTAACGCAGTACGTGTGAAAACCAAAAACTCGCAGGGTGTGCATATTCATAGGCAGGTTTTCTTATTTTCATCACGCCAGTAAAAAAAAAAAGGAAAGAAAAAAAGAGAAGTCTTGTTTGCTCTCTTGTTCCGTGCCCAATCAACAATCCCCATCTGTTGTCATGACAACTAGCACTTCACTTTTGCCCATTTCTTCCAGCGCAGTCGCCAGAGAGACCAGGTCTGCGTCACCTTGGTGACAGGCTTCCCATAAGTCCAGTAGAACACCTGTGGGGCTGGGCTTTGTTGCAAAATAGTTCAAGTACCTGAGGAGAAGAAAGACAAGAGGAGTTGTATGAAGAAAAGGGCAAAAAGAAGCCTCTCCCTTATTATTGAACATTTACAGTCATTAATACTTGTTATAACACTGCTGGTGGTTACACTTCAGTTTTGAAACTATTATATCTGCTTATATCTGCCCACTAGTTCAGCAAATGGCTGTATGAGGAACACATATCTTCATCTGATCAGCTTCACATCAGGCATGAGTATTGTTAATGGTGCAATGAAGTGGAGTGTAGAATTGGGTTTGGTTTTGAATATGAGATACATTAATACAATTTAAATCATCAGGCCAGTCACACTCTGTAGCTCTGTAGTGTGTGTGTGTGGGGGGGAGTGAACTTTCATGTCGCCAGATAATAAGCAACAACATTCATATAATCACTTCCTGTTAAGCAATTTGTCTTCAAAGTAAAACCGAAACGTTTGGTCAGTTGCTGTCATGCTTTATATTGGGCTAAATTACAGAGCTTTTATTTTGATAAGTTATAGAGTCAAATATCTGAACAGTAATAAAAAAAAAATCAGTTTAATTTGATTAAAAACATTGACATTAAAATCACTGTAGATAAACGGGGTAGGATGGATGCAAAGTTTATAATTTTTGTAAAAATGAATTTATTCAATGATTATTTTAAGCCAAGCTTAAAATCAAGCTTCCTTCCAGTTCTATCAGTTTATAACTATTTTATTACAGTTGCCTGTATGTGATTTGTGCTCAATGTTATATCACACATCAACCCCAACTTCAAGCCCTTTTTAAAATTGTGACCCATACACCAAACTTTAGACACGTGACACAGATCTATCACTGCTAGCCTGACCATGCTGCCTTTCACACATTAAACCTGTGAGGCTGATCTGACCTGTCAAAGCCCAGACTGCGTGCCAGTAGCCTCCAGTCACACCCGCGAGCGCTGGGTGCATCCAAACTGGCACAGATCTTCTGGCGGATGGAGTCAGGCAAGCGAAAGGCATAGGGTCCCACTTGGGAGGAGGGCAGGCAGGTGCCTCCTGAGGGGAGGGGCGAGTGTGGCGGTAAAGTCTGGAAACGACAGGGAGGTTTGTCTCGTTTGCTTTTTGGAACAACTGTGTGGCTTCATATAGCAGTTTTCTAGATCTGTGCTTAGCTGTTAAGCCATTACCTCCTGGATGTCTGTATGCAGCTGGAATATCTGTCCCTCCCCTTCCACCTGTCGCACGCAGATCTTACAGGTGAGCTGCGACACGGCAAGGCTGCCTCTCTCCAGGCTGAAGGTGCAGTGCAGAGGTCTCTGACTGCCGCTCCAAATGTGATAGAACGGGATCTCCTGTCACATAAAAGAGAAGTGGTAAAGTGAGAATCTGGACAAAAGTGTCTACGTGGTGATTAAAGAGCCTCCGTCCTACGTGAGCAGCACAATCAGCGAACAATCTAGAACACTGTTTCCATTCGAGGAGGGTGCACTATTTTTATTTTGGTTCTGGGTGCCTCCAGCAACTGGGTCTCGAAGTGTCAGAGCACAATTTATTTCTAAAGCGCACTGTCCATAAATTAGAAACACTATCAGATTGGCCGTTTGTTTATTCAGAGAAGGTTCCGACTGCAATCTCAGTTCTGATGCCAAGAGACTGCAGCAGAGAGTTTCCATGTTTACAACAGCAGTGACTTCTATAAAGTCCACAGGCTGTTTTCTCTGAGAAAATAAACCATTCTGCTCAAGTGAAAACAGGACGTCTTGCTTGTTAATTTATAAGTAACACTGACAATCCATTGATACAAATTTTAAGCTTCTGATGATGTGTAATGTATTTAAATAGAGGCCGTATGCTCACTTCCAGACCTACAATACACATCAGTTTTAACCCCTGTCTGTTTATGTGTTGGTTGGTTTGTGAATAAAATTACACAAAAACAACTGAATGGATTTCCATAAAAATCCAGGATAGTTTCCCCCACTTTATTTAACAGAGAGATAGGGATGTTTTTTAATTTTTAATTTTACATTTTACCTATACCTTTAGGTAATAAGTTAATAATAACATACATTTCCAAAACAGCCGTGTGCATGTTTGGCGCATGTGCATAAGCCAGCTAATTCTAAAGTTTTTACTTATTCAACACATTACTTACTTAAATAACATGTCCTATAT